TCTTGATTCTTTCATGCACAAACATGCACACACACATATATATAAATGTGCCGTTCACGTTGGCCCTGGATTGACCTAAATAGAAGAGCATTCTTCCACCCGAGGCTAACCATCCTTAGTAATCAACAAGACTTAGCCGAAAAACCCTCAACATCGGCAGACTAAACGTAAAACAAGGTTTAAAAACCATATAAGTGCACATCAAATAAAGGTTAATGAGTTCCAATAAATACAATCAACATTAAAGTTCAAATGTTAATGTTATATAATGCTATGTATTAAAATTCTTTCAAATAATTTGAAAATAAAATTACAAATTAACATTTTTAAATGTGAAAACGTTTAAATGCTGCAGGTGAAGTTACCTTATGTAAGCATTAAATCAAAGAAAAAGGAATCTAAATGTAAAAATATGGACAACAAACCTGCACAATTACATGTGACAGATTAAAAAAAAATTATAGGTGCATCCCTACTTCGAAATGTTACTTCGTTAAAGGTATAGTTCACCAAAATTGAAAATTCTGTCATTAATTACTCACCCTCATGTCGTTCCAAACCTGTAAGACTAGGAATTCATCAAAAATATCTTAATTTGTGTTCCGAAGATGAACGAAGGTCTTACAGGTTTGGAACGACATGAGGGTGAGTAATTAATGATAGAATTTTCATTTTTGGGTGAACTAACCCTTTAAGTGCTTAGCTGTTTTAGAATGGTTTAGGAACCATAATGGATTACAAAAGAGACCCGGAGTACAATGTACAATTCTATGTACAATTCTATTTTGATATTATCCACTTACTCAGGATTATCATGCAAATTGTTTGCAACTGTGTTTGGAAAAAGAATAAATGAATAAAAACAAGAAATGTAAAGCAAAATAAGTTTGAACCCTCACCTCATGAAATATGAATTCCATGTGACATCAGTGCTTCAACCGTAATTTTACAAAGCTACGAGAATACTTTTTGTGTACAAAGAAAACAAAAATAACGTCTTTATTCAACAATTCCGTCTCCTCTGTGTCACCCTATAGCGCCATTTCGGAGAGTATCATATATGTAAACAACGCATGCTGTTCTGTGTCAGCAGCACAGTACGCGGATACGTTGTTTACGCGGTTTACACTTTGATCTGAATGTAAACAACGTATCCGCGTACATACGTTGCATACGTTGTTTATGTATGTGATACTCTCCAAAATGGTGCTAGGAATTCATCAAAAATATCTTAATTTGTGTTCCGAAGATGAACGAAGGTTTGGAACGACATATGGGTGAGTAATTAATGATAGAATTTTCATTTTTGGGTGAACTAACCCTTTAAGTGCTTAGCTGTTTTAGAATGGTTTAGGAACCATAATGGATTACAAAAGAGACCCGGAGTACAATGTACAATTCTATGTACAATTCTATTTTGATATTATCCACTTACTCAGGATTATCATGCAAATTGTTTGCAACTGTGTTTGGAAAAAGAATAAATGAATAAAAACAAGAAATGTAAAGCAAAATAAGTTTGAACCCTCACCTCATGAAATATGAAATGAGACTGAAAATCAGTAAGAGAAAATGAAGATTCAACTGCTGCATGTGCCAGCCTCTGATGCCTATTGAAGCAAAAACATTTTAATTTCCTCAAACAAAGCCTTCCCAGCTGTGTTTCAAGCACAAGCCTGGCTCTCTGAGGTCAAGTCTCTTTCTACCAAGACTCTGGTACTTGAGCTGAAGGCCTTTTTGGTGAGAGAGCGCAGTTAATAGATTTTCTTTCTTCTCCCTGCTGTTGTTGTGGAAAACTATTATGAATTCTGGAAAATTCTTGCTGGGGCTCTTTTGTGCCACGAGTCTATGAGAAAAAGCGAACACAACAACAGGCTGTGTCTAAAAAAAAACCCTGGCCTTCAAATATTGCAGAAATGCAATTTCACCAGCTCCTCTATGCCAGCGCCAGTCCATTTCGCAGTCACAATGGCCGCACGTTTCTCCCTCATATAGTCGGCTTGCCAGGAACAATGAGCATGGAAGAATGGCAACAGGTAATTTAAAAAACTAGGTAAAAAGGATGTGGGCAGGAGGTGGCCCAACTCTGGCCAAATACCACAGACCACCACCAGCTACCTTCTAGTCCTCACCAGAAGAAAGTCACTAAGTGTGCAACGGTTTTTCCCTTTTCTGTCTTCGAGTTTATTGGCTCGGAGAGTCTATCGGGCCTGATCAGATCAGAGATTATATACAATTATCATCTGGTGAACATTAAAATGTTTGAATATGTTCAAGGCCATCCTCCGAAGATGATGGAGTCTGAGTGGACTGGTTTTCCACTAAAAGAAAGAATAAAAAGTTATTTCCCAAGCGTAGTTGCGGAATAATCAAAACTGAGTTTTGTGTTCATATGTTTGAAGTAAATGTGACAACACAGCTATTTCACAAGCAAAAAGTCCTTCTCACAACATCCACCGCCTTTTAACAGCTGAGGATGCAAGCTGGAAACAAGCTGCTCCTCCTGAAGAAAACGAGACCCTCTCCCTGAAGCTCAGAGTGAGAGACGAGGAATCATGGGAGATGTGGCAGGGCAGGGGGAGGAGCAGAGCTCAGGATCCGATCGCCACACAGCTGCAGTTGTTCTTCAGGGAATCCAACCGGGGAGCACCACTCAAGCGCCTAATGCCATTAATGAGCGCAGCCATGCAGCAGTAACGGAATTGGAGCGCAGCTTCTCCAGCAAGAGCCTAGCTGCTCCTGGAGTGGCGGTCAACCAGTTAGGCTGGGTTTAAATGAGCTAAACTTTGCTACACCGGAGCATCAGGGCACGGACAGGGACAGAAACGGATTCAATGACTGTTAAGTATCATGCAAGGACAAGGTGGTAGCATATTTCACAGCTATGTGAAATTTTATACACTAGCCTTTGCTGATCACTGAAAAGGGAAATGAGAATTGTAACAGACACTGTGCTTCGGCATTTACTGTCAAAGTCAACTGGAGAAGGTGTCTAAGTTTGCATACCAGAGAATACAAGCTCACTTTTACGCTTATAGGTGAAACTCAAATAAACAGCTGTAACAGAAAGTAATTAAGATGGTTTCCTCAACTACACCACACGATCATACTCTTATGTTGATTCTCATAATTTCAGCTAGGCTTTACAGGATTAATGATATAGGTGAATAAATCTCATAACACTTGCAAGAACATGTCCAGGACCAGGTCATACCGCACTCCAATTTCACAAAACAAAATGAAGAATGTAACAACAACAACAGGACAAAAAAAGTCTAAACTGTTCAAAATATGTGAAATTTTAAAATAACTATTTTAATATGTTTTAAAGTAGAATTTATTTCTGTGATGGCAAATTTGAATTTTCAGCAGCTGTTACTCCAGTCTTCAGTGTCACATGATTAATCAAAAATGCTGATTTGGTACTCAAGAAAAATTACCTATTATTAATGTTGTGGCTGCTTAATATTTTTGTGGAATAATTCCAGGATTCTTTGATGAACAAAAAGTTCAAAAGAACAGCTTTTATTTGAAACCGAAATCTTCTGTAACATTACAAATGTCTTTCCCACCACTTCTGATCAATTTAATGTGTCCTTATTGAATAAAAGTATTGATTCCTTCAAAAAAATCTTCCTGACCACAAACGTCTGAACTGTAATGTGCATAGTAGTGACATTATTTTTTATGATACTTAACCACATTATCATGTAAACAATGTCACAGTGTTTAAAAGCTTCCTTTTAAAAAAAAATATGAATAGAATTTCCTCCTTTCTGATTATTTTTTTTCTTCTGATTTTGGAGTGAAATATGACCTACAAGACAAATTCATCAATAAAAAAAAAATCATACAAAGAAGTAGTTGATCATGGATCTGATGATCTTGGAAACAACTTTTCCAAGACATGACAAGACAAGTAAGTGGAGAAATAACTGAGAAAATGCTTCTCATTCTAAATGTGTAACAGAGTAACTTCATCATGCATCCAAGGCAGCATTGCTGCTGGAGCTCTAGGTGGAGCCGGGGAGCTGCTGTTATGACAGAAAGCAGTCAGCCAGTTACACCTGGGTAACACACTCAGCAGGAGCTAAAGACTGAGCCAGTATCACAAATTTTAATACATCACTTATAAGACACAAATCAATGCTAAAATGAGAGGGTCATTGTACCGTGTCTTTCTTGAGCAGTTTTATGTCTTTCTTACAATAATTATCATTGCATTTACAAGCATTTACTTCAAACAGTAACTGAAACACAGCGTGCTGTAAGCCAAGGAGGATTTATGGCATTAAGATTTTTCTCACTGATATGAAAGCGAGGGACAAGACGTTATTTAAATCAGTTGCAAACAGAATGTATTCAATCATGGTTGCTAATGCTGTTTAGAAACGTATTTTGTGAAATGACCGATTTTAAATAAAGTATGAGCGGTGTGAAAAGTCAAAAATAAGACAAAATAACCTAGGATTTAATTTAACAAGGAGTTAGAATGATCCAAGGTTAACTATTTCAAGTGTAAAATACCTCATATATTGTGAAAAAGTGCTACAAATGAAACTTAACTTAAGTGAATGCAGCAGAGGATATTGAAGAAAACGGCAGATTCTTTTGCCTGTGAAATATCACAGTGCTTTCAGGCTGCCTAAAGACTGCGGGGATGAAACGTATGTCCCTCGTTGTATCTGGCAAACTAAAAACCAGTGATCCCAGGACAAAGGTCAATGACTGACAGATGTGCCAACATGGCATTGCTGTGTACAGAGAAACAATGAGGAGCTTCTAAAAGAGAAATCAGCTCTTATTTGAGCTCCCTACAGCACTGGAAAACAAGGTGATTTTCTTGTTTTAATCTTTAAAGAAGAGTCAGCCTCTATCAAAGCTGAATCTCCACCACAGCGTGAATGACTGTCACTACTATACGCAGATGAAAACGCAGGTGTTTTTCTAGGATTAAAGATAAAATCACACTTCTGCTCGTTTTCCTGTGGAATAACTACCTGAGGTGGCCTTTGCTGAGTGCTTCTGCAGGAAATCCAGAGTCTGAGCCAGCGCTTTCTTATTGCAATGAGTGGAGAGCTCTTCCTTACATTCAAAACACCTGTTAAAGGAGAATTTTTACATCTATTATGCCTTTCATGTCTTTTACAAAAGAGCATACACTACCTTTCAAAAGTTTGAGGTCCGTAAGAATTTTATGTTTTTGAAAAAAAATCTCTCTTATGATTACTAAAGCATTTATCAAGGCGTAGTAAAGCATTTATCACTTTATTTGATAAAAAAATACAGTAACTTAAAATAACTTTTCTATTTTAATAGATTTTAAAATGTAATTTATTTATGTGTTTGCAAAGCTGAATGTTCAGCAGCTATTTCTCCAGTCTTTAGAAATAATTTTAATATGCTGATTTGCACTTTTTATTATTATGATCAATAATGAAAACAGTTGTGCTGCTTAGTATTTTTGTTGAAACTGTGATCTTTGATGAATAGAAAGTTCAGAAGAACAGCATTTATTTGTAAACAATTGTAACAATGTAAATGTCTTTACTGTCACTTTTGATCAATTTAATGCAACCTTGCTCTAACCCCAAACTTTTTCTTATATGGTGATCTTTCAAAAAAATGCATAAGGATAAATAATCATGAATACAGTATCATCAGTTGATGTTTCCTACCAGGCTTTCCATGTACTGAGGCTGATGGTGATACAGTGAGAGTCAGAGTGATGAGCTTGCAGGTGTTTTGTGGAATGCTGAGTTTCTGCCTGGTCACAACCCTGAAAGAGAGAGACACAATAGTAAGGCTACCATATATTACCCTCGATGGAAAAAAGTTTTGTACAAGTTTTAGTACAATTCTTCCTGTTCAGCACGGTTAATAAAAATCAAGTGATTGCAAACACAACTTTTTTTTTACACTGTCAAATCAAGGCCAAACAAACCTGTCATATTCCCAAATGTGCTGTCACGGCTTAAATGCGCCATACAAAAACTGTGGGTAAAAGGCAAAGGAAAGAGTAGGGACACTCCAATTACTTTTAGAAAATGCTTTGGACCAGGGGTCAGTGAATAATATGACCTTTTACGCATAGGCCTAATAAAACTTCATTATTTGGTTTTAAAACTTGCAGTACACAACCGCCACTGCTGTGTGTTAGGCCAGCCTACATTTTTTATCTCCACTTTTTACAACAATGTTCAAATGTTTGGGGTCAGTAAGATATATATTTTTTAAATACATTGATCAATTTATTCAGCCAGGACACATTAAATTGATCAAGAGTTAAAGTAAAAGACTTTTACATTGTTAAAAAAAAATCTATTTCAAATAAATGCTGTCATTTTGAACTTTCCAGTTACCAATCCTGAAAAATCTCTCAGTTTCTATTATACTGTTAAACTGTTTTCAACATTGATAATAAGAAGAAATGTTTATTGAGCACCAGATAAGTATATAAGAATGATTTATGAAGGATCATGTGACTGGAGACTGTACTAATGATCACTAAAAATTCAGCTTTGTCATCACAGGTATGAATTACATTTTAAAATATATTAAAATAGAGAACAGATATTTTAAATTGTAATAATATCTTACAATTTCACTGATTTTACTGTATTTTTCAATCAAATAAATGCAGCCTTGGTGAACATAAGAGACTTCTATAAAAAAAGTTTTTTTAATCTTACCATCCTCCAAACTTTTGAGCAAAATGTTTGACACATCAGTGTGGCATAGAACCTATAAAAATGCCTTAAAATGACTTGTCAGTTATCCTTGCTTTGTGTGTAAATATCTTACAATAACTTGTCTATTTTGGCAGTCAAGTTTCTAACATTTGTGAAATGCAAATATGCCACTAACAACCTGTCACTGCACACTGACAAAACTACAGTACACACAACACAATATATTACTGCTGCAGAATGTGAAGATCTCACCTGGAACCCACACTTGAGGCACACAAGGATGTCATGTGCTCCTACTGGTTCTCCCTCATGAATGTTCCTCTCTTTAAGGCAATCGGAGCATATAGACCACAGGCTGCCTGTCACTGCCTTCTTCACTGAGCTGAGGTCCACAGCCCTGCTCACATGCTGGCATGTCAACCCTGGACGGCACCAAAATATACACCTTTACCGTAGTTTACAACTCTATGCAAGCATTGGTAAACCCACAATCTGAATAATAATAATAATAATAATATGTTTTATTTTTATAGCACCTTTCAAGAACCCAAGGACGCTTTACAAAATAATACAAGCAAATTGGCAAACAAAATACACCAGACTGTCAAGAGCCCAAAGACATTTTACAAAATAATACAAGCAATTATGTCAAGATGGTGGTCTTCCATGGTGGACTTATGTCATACAAACAGAAGTTGAGAAATAGAGAAGCAGAGAGGTAAATGAGTTATTTAGAGAACAAAGTGAATAGATGAGTTTTAAGTTGAGACTTAAAGGCCTGGAGAGAGGAGGCAGCATGAATATTATGGGGTAGCTTATTCCATAGCTTAGGGCCTATAATACAGAAAGCCCTACCACCCACCGTAGAGAGTTTATACTTGGGCACAACAAGCAAATTATCACTGCTAGATCTGAGAGTCCATGCAGGAATGTATGGTTGCACTAACTCAGCAAGGTATTGAGGTGCGAGGCTGTGACAGGCCTTATAAACTAAAACTAAGAGTTTGAACTGAATACGTTTGGCCACAGGAAGCCAGTGAAGTTGGTGAAGGATGGGAGTGATGTGTGCAGATTTTTGGTTAAATGTAAGGGCTCGAGCAGCAGAGTTTTGTACCATTTGGAGGCGATTAATAACTTTGGCAGGTAAGCCACCATATAAGGAGTTACAGTAATCCAATCTGGAGGTTATAAAAGCATGGATAATAGTTTCAGCATCTCCAAAATTAAGTGAGGGACGTATACGAACAATATTCCGCAATTGGTAAAAGCATGATTTAACAATCTGACCAATATGTGAATCAAAGCATAACACAGAGTCAAACAACACTCCCAAATTTCGCACAGTTGTTGAGGGCCTAATCTGGACACCATCGATATCTATGAAGATGTCATGCTGGGAGGAGCTCTGTGATTTAGGGCCAACCAGCAGATTTCAGTTTTGTCTGCATTTAGTTGTAAAAAGTTATCTGACATCCAGGTTTTAAGTTCTTGAAGACAGGAACCTATAGAAAGGGGTGGACAAACTGAGTTGGGTTGAACCGTAAAATAGATTTGAATATCATCAGCGTAGCTATGAAAATTGAGACCATGACGTCTGATAATCTGACCCAATGGCAGCACGTAAATGAGAAATAGAAGTGGACTAAGTACAGAACCTTGGGGGACACCACGGGAAATAGTGACAGTGCGAGATCTATTCTTATCTATCCTAACGAATTGCTGTCTATCCGATAGATATGAAGTTAGCCACTGAAGAGCAGCACCAGTGATACCTATAGCAGATAGTCGAGAAAGAAGTACTGAGTGGCAAACAGTATCAAAGGCTGCACTTAGATCAAGGAGAACCAGGATACTGTGGGCACCTGAATCAGAAACCAGAAGGAGATCATTAACCACTTTTAAAAGTACTGTTTCTGTGCTGTGAGAGGGACGGAAACCAGATTGAAACTGCTCATAAAGATTATGTTTCTCTAAATGAGACTGCAGTTGTGCTGCAACTACCTTCTCAAGTATTTTAGCGGTCTAAAATTGTTCAGATCTATGTTATCAAGACCAGGTTTCTTAAGGATTGGGGTGATGGCAGCTACTTTTAGGTCTTGTGGAACATAACCAGTGTCAAGGGATTTGTTTATAATATGAGTAATAGGTTGGATGAGTGAAGGCAAAAGGGTTTTAAGTTAGTATGTTGGAATAGGATCAAGTGTGCTGGAGGCAGAGTTAGATTTGATAATCAGTTGTTCGACCGCAGATATATTTGTGGGTAAGAAAGTGTTGAGTGGGTGAATGAACTTCATGCATGATAGATCCTTAATGTCTGATAAATCCCTTAGATGCTTCTCTGTGATTTTTTAAATGAGTACCAAGCATCCAATGAATAATGTGCTGGAATGAGAAATGACATTGAAACCTTTCCTTACCGCCAACCTCGTCAGACGAGTCTTCATCACGAGGCTTCTTTGGCTTGTTAGACCGCTTGGTCATGTCTGCGGTTTTTAAAGAGAAGGGGTCTTTCAGCCGCATTTGTATCTAGGAGAAAAGTCACTCACTAAGTATGCGAGCCCACAGCACAGTTAAAATTGTGTTTCTGAAGCCTAAAACTTTGAACATTATCATACAACACATGCCTGGGAGCCAGGGCTCACTAGAGGGCCTTGGCAAGCTTCCAAGGTGGGCACAAAATTACTTTTACTTTAAAAGAATTATATTAAAACAAGTCATTGTCATTAAAAGGCTAAAAACTGCTTTTTAAAAAATAACTAATAGGCTACAAATTTTACAAAATACATGAATTAACATTATGTTAAAAAATATATAATGCAACTACAATGCTAAAAAATATTAAAATAATAGAATGTAACTAAAAGGCTAAAAACTGCTAAAATAAAATTATATGTAAAATATATTAATTAGCCTAACATTATATAAAAAATATAGTGCAACTACAAGGCTAAAAAATATTAAAATAATACAACGTAACTAAAAGGCTAAAAAAACGCTAAAAAAAAATCAAGACTCACAAAATGTAAACATTATATTTCATATTCTGATTTCCCCTCAACAAATTTAGTTTTCACTGAAGAACATATAGTTTTAAAACTCTGTAATTAATATAATCTATTGACACTCCTGAGTATTGTTCCTTTCCATCTCAGTGGGCAGACATTGCAGTCACTATAAGTCCTATTTGAACCACATGTATACTGTACCAGCATTTGAATACAATTTTGATAAGGAAGTCTCCAGTACAACCATTAATTAGAACTGACGAATCAGGAAGTGAGGATAATAAAGACATACAAAGGAAATAAGTTATTAGCACAGCCACAGTAACAACAACAGCACGACACCTGAGACTTGCCCAGGTAACTGATACAAGTGACAGCAGGTACCGGCTGGTTAAAGGCCTTTGCTTCTTTAGTAAGTCAGAACTGTTTATAGCACAATGTTGCTCCAAAAGAGTGGCTATAAACATCAAATGGTCTTTGGCTTACAGTAATAAACCCATCTCACCCCGTTTATGGTCCCCTCCTCTCCAGGCTCACTACCAAGTTAACGTCAGTTGTCAAGTGGCCAAGTGGAAGAGCGAAGCTGATAACTTACATATGCTTCCAAGTTTATAAATACGAAAGAATTTCTGCCTGTAGTTTTGGTGTTCGAATCTAACACTTCGACAATCATAAATCGAGTAATCCCGAGACGCAGTTTATATTCTGATTAACAGAGTTTGTCCGCGTATTTGGTGGCATTTGGAGAAGAACAGAAAGCACAAGTATCACATGTGTCACGTGGTCGCATACTCAACGACGCACTACGGATACTTGTATGGCCAAACTCGTTTGTATATCTACTGTAGTTACAAAGGAGCTGTTTTAAACGTGCTGTGGTGTTTTGTATAAATGTTAAGCGCAAAAGGGCAGTATAATACAGAAAACGTAACTTTTATTTTTTTCTATTTTTTATGATACTCTATTTTTATTTTACTGTTTGCATCATTTAATCAGTTACACTTTGCAACATATCTATTATGCATTAGGCCTATATATTGTATTTGCACATTTCATTTGTCTTCGCATTTTTTTATGTTAATATGCATATATGAGATCTGCACCCTGACTTTCATTTTTAATGGAATAACAATGTATTATTCATATAGAAATTAAAATAAAGGTACACTCTGCATTTTCAAATGCTTTTTCAAAAGCAAGCACCACTAATTAAAAATGTAATTCCTGCATGTCCACTTTCTCTACTAAGATTAGTTTAACATTGGAACCACATAGCACGCGTGGGTCTACATTTTTCATTGCCAGTCAAATTATAATCAGTAAACATGACAATAATTACTTGTATATCAAAATACAGTATAGCACTTTGTTAAACAGATATACAACAAATAGGAAAAGAGAAAGTCATAAAGAAAAAATTAAATTAAAACGAAAAAAAGAGATCATCATATAAACAACTTAAAAGCTTCATATATGCCTGGGTTTTGGTTTTTGCATACGAGTTTGGGAGTCAAAAGAGGAGCCAGCGTCACTGGTAATACGTAGTTGTGCGCATGCGTGCAGGAGTAGTGGGTAGCTGCAATCCAGCTGCGTAACTTACAATCAGTTGTACCGTGTTTTCGGCAATATTTAAATACAAAACAAGAAATAAGGAGCATCGTCATCTTGCAGCTTTCATTACCATAAATCCTATCATGGCGTTAAATGTCTATTCACGGCTGACGAGGAGTACTATAGTCCGCGTTTTAGCGAGCAGAAGTGTCATTCCTGTTACAAGACAGCTGACAACTACTTCATGCTGGACACATTTGCGTTGCTTACAGCGTGAGTGTTGAAGTATTGCATTGATATTTAACAGTTAAATTTAATACACCGTGCTTGACATCGATAGTTGTAAAAATCACGGTGATTTATCTCTACCGATTTAACATGTCATTTCTGGCTCTGCGTATTTGTAAAAGTTTGGGCTGTAAGAAGTACTTGTATAAATTATTCTTAAGGTGACATGTTTCTTTTGAAAGGTAAATATCACATGACTACTACACGTGTAGCAGAAGAACGGCCTCTGTTGGTCAAACGTGTCATTCGTTATGATGGTAGTTCATTACGGAATTTCAGTTCTTCAAGCCAGCCTTCAATAGATGTGTCCTACGAGCAGCTGAAAAAACTGCTGCTGTCCGACTCCAGTGTGGTTATAGACGTCCGTGAGCCGTGGGAACTCCGGGAATACGGGAACATACCGGGGTCAATTAACGTGCCATGTAAGTCAGTGCGTGGCCTAATAAGTATACTGTTTATTTAAAGACACATCATATAAATTACAATGCTGTACCTTCTCTTCTGCAGTGGGACAGGTGAATGGAGCTCTCCATCTCACGCCTGATGATTTCAAGGAGAAATACGGAGGAGTCATGCCATCACAATCCCAAAATATAGTGTTCACCTGTCTAGCTGGTGTAAGAAGCAAAAAAGCCCTGGAAACGGCAGTGTCTTTAGGATACACCAAGTGAGCAGTTATTTTTAATATACAATAAGGGATGAATGTGATATTTTAATGCAGGGCTGCCCAAACTTTTTACTATGATGGGTCAAAAATCAAACCTGATTGCAGGCCATAGGCCAAAATTAAATGTTGCATTTTTCCAACTATATTTTATTAAAATATACATTTTTGAAATGCAATTCACTTATATTTCAAAACAAAAAATGGTGGAACAAAACGCTAAATTAGAAATAAATACATGCTTCAATGGCATGTCCCAGCCCCCTCCCATATGGCATGGGTGGGCCAAATCAAAGGTCACCACAGGCCAACTTTTTCCCTGGTTTGGGGATCTCTGTTTTAGAATCAGAATCAGAATGAGCTTTATTGCCAGGTATGTTTACACATACGAGGAATTTGTTTTCGTGACAGAAGCTTCCACAGTGTAACAGAATGACAGTGACAGAACAAAAAACACAGATAATAAATAGTAGAACAAGTAAATAAGGAATAAAAATATATAAATTGACAGTTGTATGTGCAGGTATATTACAATAGACAGTTTTTGTATGTACAGGTACTGTATATTATGTGCAAATTTGAGGTGTAGTCTGAGTATGTGTGTTAGATAAATAAGTGTATGAGTGAATAAATAGTGTGTGTTCCACAGTTATTGTTAAGTGTTCATGAGATGGATTGCCTGAGGGAAGAAACTGTTCCTGTGTCTGGTCGTTCTGGTGCTCAGTGCTCTGTAGCGTCGACCAGATGGCAAATTTTAATGGTTTTTCTCTGTTATTCTCATCATAAGTAGGTAGATGCATTAGTATCATTCACGCATTATAAGCCAGACTATGCTCAATTTTATGTAGTATACTAAGGTTGAAAAACAAACAATAAAACCATGCTAATATGTGAAATAAAAGGATCATTCTAGGATAAGTGCTTTTATGAAATGCATAACAGAAAATTTTATTTTTTTCTGAATAAATAAAAGAAATTGCACATTAAAACCAGTTTAAGATCAATATGCTATAGTGCTGTATATTGAAGTTGTGTTTGCTTTAGTTGTCTAAGTTGTCTCTCTCTTCTTGTAGGGTCCAGCATTATCCAGGTGGATGGCAAGAATGGGCAGAACATCAATTAATACAAACCAAAGAGTGATTGTCACGCTGTAGTCATGTTAACACTGTGATAGAAGTTTGATTGACTTGTACTGCAGTCTGAATTATACCATTGACACCGAGTCAAAATGTGCCAGTAAGACTGAATCATTTAACGGTATTGACTGGAAATAAAGGAATGGTGTGAATATATTTTAAGCCTAAAAGATGCACTGTTATATGATGTGAGCAGTGCACATTCTACACTGATATTTTATTTGATGTGGTCAGTTTGAATGGGAAGTGCAGTGGCCTACAGTGTGTATGTTACAACTTCTGTTCAAAGAGCTCTTGGCTATTTGCCTAATAGTTAAACCTAAATATTTTGAGCAGGCAATCCAAATATAAGGAAAAAAATAAACATTTTATTCAGTGATTTATGAAGTCAACGTAGCACTGTTTAAAAGTAACTGGAAAGTTATGTTTTTGTATTCTTGAAAATAAAACCTTGATGCTACATTGCGTGTATTGTGATTATTTGATATTCAAAAAAATCTGTGTTATCTCACATTTGTCTTTTTGGATAAAATATCTGCTAAATACTTAAATGTAAAATTGAAATAAATATTAAAATGCAGGGTGTAACTCATCCTTCATCATTTGTGCTACAGATATGAATATCAACATTAAATGGAGTGGCTTTAGTTTTGCACAGAAAAAAAAGTACATTTTACACTAAATGTAAAAATCAGATGTACATATCCTTGTAATTTAGGGAACTACAAAAAAAAACTTTAATTTATGTGCAAATACATATTTTTGAAAGAAATTAATACTTTTATTCAGCAAAGAATATTCTATTTCAAATATATTCTGTTCTGTTAAACTTTCTATTCATCAAAGAACCCTGAATGGATTACTGTTTTAACAAAAATATTAAGCAGGACAACTTTCTCATCACAGGAATAAATTACATTTTAATATTTAATGGTATTGTTAATGTTTATTTGCTTATGCATGTTTCAGTGTAATCTGTGACTAATGATAACAAGAGCTGTATATGGCACTGCCATTATATAACAATATAACACTCTCACAAAAAGAGGTACAAAATCTGTCACTGGGCCAGTATACTTTCCAAAGGTAAATCTTTGTACCTAATTATTAACTAACAGATATAGTGTACATATTAATACCTCACTAACTTTCTTTTCTGAGAGTGCAGTGTTAGTCTTATTAGGCATATTAGTCTTTGAGCTATACTTATGTTTACGATTATAAGAATTATGTGTACCATTGTCATTAATGTGGATGTGACAAAGCTGTCTCTTACTGATGAATCTGAAATTTAGAAAATTGTTTTAATTATAAGTGAGCAAAGCAGCATGAGCAGACAAAGATAACAGTGGCTTATTATTGGCAATAAAGAGGCTAGTCTATTGTCTTTACCAATGCTGTCATTTTTTTTTTTCTGTATGAGCACTGCTATAGGGATGAGTGACTAATGTACTTTAATTGAATGAGATAGCAGGAGAAAAATAACGCCTGAGTGTTTGAGCTCATTTTGCCACTGTTCACATCTCAGAGAGATGCAGACCCAGCCTTCCTCCCACATGCCTGGCAAATCTTAGATAGTCGGAAAGAATCTCATAAACCACATTTGGTCAGCATTAAAACAAAAAAAGAGTTCTGTAATGAATAAAGATTAGACCATATTTCAGCTGAAACTGATTTTTTAAGAAAAAATTATTCTTTAGATCCTGATTAAAGAGACTCAAAAGACTTTGTAATTCCCACTTACATCCTTTAGTCATCTCAAGCGTGAATCTCAGACAGGCCAGCAAAACACTCTAGTTAATTCCTCTCGCATTTCTCATTTTTGCACATTCTGCCATGTAAATAGTGACCACATTAGTGTCATCTCCCTCTGCTCAGATTGACCTTGTGACATTACTCCTTGCCCTGTCTAGAAGAATGTGTAATTAAAATCCCTACATATCAAACCACATCACATCACGACTGCACCTCCAGACTAATGGAGCCTTGTCTCATAATTTACCCCTTCATTCAACACCTCTCAAGACCCTGACAGATGTTCGAGTGACGGGCCCAATTCTTGATGGAGCAGAGGCTCAACATTCCCATAGCATTGACTCATGTTTATAGTGGACTATAAAACGCCTGGATCTCTGGGAGTCTGGATTTGCGAGCAGAACTTGTGAGAGGAAGATCAACACAGCAAGGCCTTAAAGTTTAGCCACTGACCCATGATGAGTCGCAGCCCAGAAAGGATCTCATCCTATCGCCGCCATTTCGAGGACACCAGCACCTCCTCTTACCAGGTGAGGGTCAGCAGCCCTTCTCCCGTCAGACGGGATGTCAGGAGGTGCCGTTCAGCCAGCTACACCCGTAAAGCCAGCACTGTCAGCAGGAGCATGGCAGTGGGCCGGAGGACCATCTCATCCTCACGCAGTCAGAAAAATAAATATGTATTTTAATACAAATATGTGTTAATATGTGCAATAAAAAAATATATTTTTATTTTGTTGTGTGTAAAAAATACAACAACAAAAAAAACAATACAAAAATCCTGTAATATAAAATTAATGATACCGTAAACAATCTAAATATATAATCCAAAATGTATATGTAAAAGATATAAATTATATGTAAATAAATTATCCCTATCTGTCTATCTATCTATCTATCTATCTAAATATTTGCCTAGTAATTAGAGAGATTTTTCGACTGCCAAATATAATTAGTCCTATTCTGTTGTTTGGTGGCAAATAATTTCTTTGTTAGAACATGTTAGAACACAGTTTCTTTTTAATTGTATTTACTGATCCGATACAAATCACACACGGCCTTCTAGGAAACTCAAGCACTCTCCATAACTGTGTGACCTAATAAAAACCAAAGTGACAAACAAATGCATCTTTCCCATGTCAGCAACACGTTACCTTGCATTCACTTCACATCTCATTTTACCTTTGGAATTCACGTTATGATAAATCTGAATTAATTGCAGTGTCGGAATGGGAGCCATCTGTCTTAGCGGAGGGGGTCCAGGGGTCTATCTCGACCAGGCTTCTGCAGAAAACCGTGAATTCCTGAACACACGAACCAGTGAGAGACAAGAGATGATTGTGCTCAACGATCGACTGGCAGCATACATCGAGAAGGCAAGTGCCCTCACACAAAATTAGTATGCCCTTGTGCATATTTAAAACACTGAATGCATCACAATGGTGCCATACATTTTGAATAACATAGCCTATAATGAATGTAACTGATTACAAAAAAAAGCAATATAATTTAACAGTGCTCTTAATGGTCTGGGAAAAAAAGCCTCATTTTTAGAGCCATCTTTGACAGGATTTGTCTGATTTGGCCACGCTTGAATGCGTCGCGGGCACTGGCAGTGTGGAAATGCCGCTGCTGGCTCGCGAGATAAAGCGCATTATTCGCACTTCTGTGGGCACACAGACAGAGCACATAACACGCGTACTGTGTTGCCTTATTCTCCTGTCGCAACAAAGGTTCGTTCGCTGGAGCAGCAAAACAAATTGCTGGAGATGGAAATCGAGGCCCTAAAGAATCGATTCTTGAAGCCCACCGGCCTCCGCCTGCTGTACGAGGAACAACTCCAGGAGCTGAAGAGGCTGGCGGACCACATGAGAGTACAGCGGGTAGCTATAGTCATTCGAATTGATCTTTTGACAAATCTTAAGCATCAAAAAACATTTTAAAGGTCTACAATAAATGTACACCTGGTAAATTAACATGCAGCCATGTTTAACGTATATTCGTAAATGAATTAGCCTAGATGAAATAAATTATTTATAAATATTTACACTAGGCTATTTTTTGAGTAGAGTAATGTTGTCTTAGAGAGGGAAGGAACAGGTGATGATTCGCATTGAGGGGAAAATAGTATCAGACTTAGACATAGTCTATATGATAATACCTATAATTACTTTTAAAGGACCTTGCTATCGCTGCAAAGGATGCTATGGCGGGTCAGCTGGAGATGATGAAGGTGAAATACGAGGAGGCCTTGGAGATGAGGAAGAAAGCCGAGCTTGATATTGAAGCCTTCCGTCCGGTATGATTACCATAAAATTGTCTTATAACATTTAGTTTTATAAGCAAAAAAAAAAGTGGTAGAATGAGGTGAACATCTTTTATCACCTCAGGATGTGGACGCCGCCACCGCCGCGCGCATTGCTTTGGAGAAGCAGCTAGAAAACCTAGAGGTGGAACTAGAATTCTTTCGAAGAGTACACAAAGAGGTAATTAAAACGCGAAAGTTATATTGCCCTTGATAAATAAAAAGCTAAATGATTAAATTTTTGTCAGCAGGAGCATGGCAGTGGGCCGGAGGACCATCTCATCCTCACGCAGTCAGTCCTTCATGACTGGGTAAGCATTGCCCATCTTTTTTTTTCTTCTCAAAGTAATTAATTGTTTCCGGCATTTAGGAGATGTTCAAAGTAAGCTTTTAATAAAAGAGAAAAATGAGAACATTACAATATATATATATATATATACTGTATATATATATATATGCGTCGCGGGCACTGGCAGTGTGGAAATGCCGCTGCTGGCTCGCGAGATAAAGCGCATTATTCGCACTTCTGTGGGCACACAGACAGAGCACATAACACGCGTACTGTGTTGCCTTATTCTCCTGTCGCAACAAAGGTTCGTTCGCTGGAGCAGCAAAACAAATTGCTGGAGATGGAAATCGAGGCCCTAAAGAATCGATTCTTGAAGCCCACCGGCCTCCGCCTGCTGTACGAGGAACAACTCCAGGAGCTGAAGAGGCTGGCGGACCACATGAGAGTACAGCGGGTAGCTATAGTCATTCGAATTGATCTTTTGACAAATCTTAAGCATCAAAAAACATTTTAAAGGTCTACAATAAATGTACACCTGGTAAATTAACATGCAGCCATGTTTAACGTATATTCGTAAATGAATTAGCCTAGATGAAATAAATTATTTATAAATATTTACACTAGGCTATTTTTTGAGTAGAGTAATGTTGTCTTAGAGAGGGAAGGAACAGGTGATGATTCGCATTGAGGGGAAAATAGTATCAGACTTAGACATAGTCTATATGATAATACCTATAATTACTTTTAAAGGACCTTGCTATCGCTGCAAAGGATGCTATGGCGGGTCAGCTGGAGATGATGAAGGTGAAATACGAGGAGGCCTTGGAGATGAGGAAGAAAGCCGAGCTTGATATTGAAGCCTTCCGTCCGGTATGATTACCATAAAATTGTCTTATAACATTTAGTTTTATAAGCAAAAAAAAAAGTGGTAGAATGAGGTGAACATCTTTTATCACCTCAGGATGTGGACGCCGCCACCGCCGCGCGCATTGCTTTGGAGAAGCAGCTAGAAAACCTAGAGGTGGAACTAGAATTCTTTCGAAGAGTACACAAAGAGGTAATTAAAACGCGAAAGTTATATTGCCCTTGATAAATAAAAAGCTAAA